CTTGACTTCATCTGAATGATGCACTAGAAGATGTCTACGCCCGACTTCATCTAGAAGAGATATCTTTCAGAATGACTCTTTGGGGAAAATGTTTAAGTAGTTACTTGTCAAATTTAGTCTATGAGGGAAATACTTTCTAGAATTCAGTTTGTGAAGGAAATTGTCTGGTCATATAGATAGTTGCTCAGTCCTTTTTTCAGGAATTATTTTGTGACCTGTTAGAAAATTGTTGATAATGTTCGTTTGTTTGTGAACTTTACCTGAAAATATAGAGTTAGTATTTATTCAGTGTCATGATGTATATGGTGCATTGTGTAAAAATGCTCTCGAAATAAATGTGAATGTGCTAATGCGTTTCGTATGCATGTGCTACGATGAATGATGTATGAATGTGAGATGTCATTGAAATGTATCGGTAGCTTTGATCGGGAAAATAAATCAATGATTGTTGCTGGGGATGACGAATATGAATCTTTGATCAATCGGGGATTCCGGCTTGCTGTTTGAGGAAACTCTGCTGGGGAATTTGATTTCTTCTTGGGGAATATAGTTCAGAAACATTGGTCGTTTGCCGCTCTACTGGGGATTTAGATTTTATATACCCTGACTAGGGAAATAAGAGATGGATAAACTTCTGAGGTGTTGTCTGACCAAGTTTCTGATATGGATGCCAACTCTTCTGGGGAGGATAGAATTAACTAATATCTGGTTCAGTTTCAGATTTCGTAGAAACTCTCTGGGGATAGTGGTTTGGACTGCCCTTTGCTAGAGAGAGAAGTTTTGTCGGTGATTTACAGTAGTTATAGGGATAGACTCAAACTGGGGAGACTAAATTCCGCTGGGGAAATAAACCATGTTGGGGAAATAAACCATGCTCGAGAAATACTTTGTTGAGGAAATAAACCTGTTGGAGGAATATATTCTGCTGGGGACATGAGCTCGGGTGAAAAAGAAATCTCCAGGGGATTTTACAGTGTTGGAGAAATAAACTCAGTTGGGGGAGAGAATTCATATGAAATATGTTGATGACCTAATCTCTGATGAGGGTTGGGACTCCGTAAGTTGGCGACATTGCTGGGGGAATAATTATACTCCTTTGTCCACTAGAGGGATCTGCTGGTGAGTTCGATTAGAGTATTTCTGGCTTGCGGAGAATATGTCTTTGTTGAAGATGAGCTTGTGAAGCTGATTCCGGGGGAATAATCTTATGGAAACTGCTATGTGGGGAAAATTTATTGGGGATTACTCTGTGGGGATTTATGGACGACTTGAAAGTTATCCCAACTCCTAGAGTCTTGAGTAAATGCTTATTCCTATTTTTATGCATATTTATTTGTTATCAGTAATCATATTCATATGCATATGTCCATTCAATTTAGTCATTGGGTGTTTTTGCAAACAAAACAGAAAAAGTAAAAATTTGAATTTTGAAATTGTTATTTGTATTGATAGTGTGCCTATAAACAAACAATTGTTGTACGGAGAGACAGAAATCCTAGTAAGAGGAAATCATCATGAAATGAAAAGAGTACAAATTCAAAACAAAATATATAGCTATGTGTAAATGTTCTCGTCGAGATCCAACTCTATTATTTCCCATATGTCTTCGAGCATCTCATCCCTCGCTTGTCGGAAGAAGTTGATTGAATTGATCGGCACCATTCGAACTTGACATTGGTAATAAATTTGGTTGTAAGTGATTCAATGGGACATAGTTGTATGTTTTAATCCCTAATTTTTTCCTGGACCGCCCTTTCGGGTTTTCAGTCCACCGGGATACCCTTTTTTGCCCAAGCCGCCTTTTCAGGTTTTCGACTTGTCGGGTGTACAGTCTTTTATATATATCCCTAATTTTTGCTCGAACCCTTTTTGTTCATCGGGATGCCCTTATTTTTGCCTAGGCCAGTCAACCTAGCAGGTCGTCTTTACGCGTAGTATCTTTTAACTATGTTCGCATTCACAGGGTATGGAAGATCTTTACCGTCCATGATGGTAAGTATCATAGCACCGCCCGAAAATATCTTTTGACCACAAATGTCCCTTTGTAGGTAGGAGTCCATTTTTCCCTGGGATCATCTTGTGGTAGGATGATACGCTTTATTACCAAGTCACCAGCCTGATATACTCGATGCTTGATTTTCTTATTGAAGGCTTTGATCATACGCTTCTGATACATCTGATTGTGACAGACAACCGCAAGCCTCTTCTCGTCAATTAAATTCAATTGGTCCAGCCTAGTATGAATCCATTTGTCTTCGTCCAAATCTGCATCTTTCATAATTCTCAAGGAAGGAATCTGAACTTTGACAAGTAAGACAGCCTTCATACCGTAAACTAGAGAGAACGGGGTTGCCCCAGTTGATGTCTGAGCTGAAGTGCGATAATCGTGAAGAGCAAATGGTAACATTCAGTGCCAATCTTTGTAGGTCACAACCATTTTCTACACAATCTTCTTAATATTCTTATTGGCGTCTTCCACTGTGCCATTCATCTTTGATCGATATGGAGAAGAATTGTGGTGTTTGATCTTGAACTGCGTGTAGAGTTCCGTGATCATAGTATTATTGAGATTGGTACCATTATCTGTGATAATAATCTCGTGGATTCCATACCGACAGATAAGGTTATGCTTAATGAATCGGGCGACAACATTCTTGGTAACGGAGGCAAATGAGGTTGTTTTGACCCACTTTGTGAAATAATCAATAGGAACGAGGATGAAGTGATGTCTGTTAGAAGCAGTATGTTTGATCTCTCCAATCATATCAATATCCCACATTGCAAATGGCCAAGGAGAAGTCAAGACAAGTTCTCGAGTGGTGATGGCAGTCAGTTTCCATAATCGACCAATAATAACCCGCTCTCAGAATCTTCTTGGCCATAGTATGTCCACTGGAATGAGTACCAAAAATACCTTCGTGCATATCTTCTATAATCTTATCCGCCTCTTTCTTGTCCACACAATGAAGCAGAGTCGAATCATGGTTGCGCCTGTATAGAATTTTGTTGCTCAGGAAGAACTTAGCTGAGAATATCCGTAGGAATTTCTTGTCGTTGATGGATGCTCCTTCAAGATACTTTTGAGCCTCAAGATATCTTTTCACTTCATGAAACCAAGGCTTCTTCTCTACTTTGTTAGTGTCAATTTCATAGCAATGTGTCGGTTCGTCTAGCCTCTCAATGGTGATTCTAGGAGCCTCGTTATCCCATCTAACTTTAAACATAGACGACATGGTAGCTAATGCGTCTTCCAAGTGATTCTCTTCTCTTGGGATATGCTCAGAAGTGATCTCCTCGAAATACGGAATTAAAGTCAACACATGCTCTCGATACGGAATGAGATTCAGATGCTTAGTATCTCATTCTCCCTTAATCTAACTGATTGCCAGGGCTGAGTCTCCATATACGCTCAAGAACTTGATTCTCAGGTCAATAGAAGCTTTAACACCCATGATGTACGCTTCGTATTCAGCCATATTGTCGGTACAGTCGAAACATAATCGGGCGGTGAAGGGTGTATGGCAACCCTGAGGAGATATAATTACAGCACCAATTCTATTGCCAAGTGAATTAGAGGCTCATCGAAAACCATAGTACATTGGGATCCTGTCTCAGGTCCTTCATACGGTCCGGGTTCTTCAAAATCTGTAACTATCATGATGTTCTCATCCGGGAACTCAAAATTCATATATTGGTAATCGTCTATAGCTTGATGTGCCAAATGATCTGCCCGTACATTTCCTTTAATTGCCTTTTGACACTAGTGCAGGAAAGACATTTAACATCGGGCGTAAAGTACATTTTACATCGAGCAATAGTCCGATGTGAAAAATACACTTACCACATCGGTTGACAGTTATGCCTAATGTGAAATCATTTTTATTTTATTTTTCTTTAAATAAATACAACATTTTACATCAGTTGTCGTTCTAGCCCGATGTAAAAGATAGGTTTTTACATCGGTTACAAGGCGCGTCTGATGTAATATGTATGCTATCTTTTTCAAAAATTAGACTATTTTTTGACGGAATCGAGATGGAGTTCCTGTAAATTTTTTTTGTACATAATTTTTCATATTTTTCCAATATCACACACACCACATTTAAGTCGCTATTTGGTATCTAATTTTTCATATTTTTCCAACCAAACTGATAATTGCATTGCACCGAATAGCTTGGATGCACATATTCTTACATACAAGTGTACAATATTATAAAGAAGTTTACACGGTGGACAACAACAACAACAACAACAACAACAACAACAACAACAACAACAACAACAACAACAACAACAACAACAACAACAAAACTAGTGAAAACATACAACAATATCCAATCATTTATAAGTCATTTCCCACACTTGAATTACCAACATGCAATCCACAAGAAGATGAGTTGTAGCTTCAATAGTCAACACCAAAATCACATTTGCTGACAATAAATAATAACACCAATTAACATCAACAAACAACATCAAAGTCAAGAAACTCAAATTATATATATATATATATATATATATATATATATATATATATATATATATATATATATATATATATATATATATATATATATATATATATATATATATACACTAGATAAAACTTAACTTTTATATAACTCAGAGAAATATTTTTCCCAACAAAGTCGCAAATCATACAAATCATCTTGTGTTAATTTTGTTAGGTCATCAAATACCTACCATACGTAAATAACAATATAAAGTTATTCTTTGACTATTAATTACCAATGATTTTTCTACGTGTGTGTGAAAATACAAAAGTCATATAAAATATATATGTTATCAAAATTAAAAAAATAGAAAACACAATTTCATACAAACTTACCCATGAATAAATGGTAGTAAGTAACTCACTCTTTTCGTCACGTAACTTATCTTGTATGTATTTTTTAACATCTGCTTGAGATTTCGACACATTATCAACATACATACACATAGCAGGGTCCATAAATTCATATACTTCTGATATGGAATTATCAATGCATTAACGATGAATATACCTGGATAATTTTAAAATAAACATTAGAATCAAAGTGATGAGAGATATAACGTATTAACAGATATTGACAGTAATAAAAAATAAAATAAAAATGTACTTACGTGCACTAAACTTGTAGAGTAGACACGTTAATCCAATGAAAATTCACCAATAACTCTCTGATACACTTAGCTGACATATAAAAATTAGTGACACTCACACAATAACTTAATTTCATTTCTAAATGCTGTTAAGATATTGTTACGTCCCTCCGAAACAAAGACACCATTTTCAGCTTCTTCAATTTGAGAATCTTACAAAATAAAAAAACCAAAACTAATACCTATGCTTGGTACCAGTTTCTCTCACAATCCCCTCCTAAAAAACCCACATTTTCCATTACTAGCCATAGCAACATAACAATATTCTTTCTCAAAATATTTGAAACACGTGAATGGAAATTTATAGAACTAGATGCATCATCAAACAACATCAAAGTGTAATTATAAATCTGGAAGACACAACATACCTTCCAAGTGAAAGCAAATTGCCCAGAGTGAAAGTTATCCCAAACTTGATTGGTTTGAGGAAAACAAACATAGACTGCAATATGAGGGTAAATTGCCATTAATTAGTCAATATTCTTGTCTGCCAATATAAATTTGAGTTAAAAAACTAATATACTATATAAAGGTATGAAGGCCAACACTTATTGATAAAGTTTTCAAAGTGGTAGTAAAATAATACATGTTCCCATCACATTGACAAGACAAAGGCGAGAAATCAATGTGAAACATGTTCACTATCCCCATATAGTACATATGTAATTTCCATTTCATCCATTATAACCCAACACTAAATTTGAGGAACAAAATCTAAAAGTATAATAGTTTATTACCCATGCTCACTAGTTGCAAGTATCATTAGAATTTTTTGAATGAAGTTAGAATAAACCACGATGTACAATATAGTGGTGAATAGCATCAAAGGTAGCATAATTAGAGAAACCATTTAAACCTCCATATTACAATTACATTATCCAATATCAATATGAACAATATATTTATGCCACTAAGAGTTGGTCAGAAGGGGAATGAGCACTTGAAACAGTGGTAAAGGTCACTGCCTTATATAATGATATTGGTGATTATAGGTTGTAGTCATAGAAACATCCTATCCACTCGCAGTAATAAGGCTTAATTTAGCTGATCTAGCTTATAGAGCCTACACAGGCAACATGCAATCTAGGACTTCAGGCATTGGGGTCCATTTTAGTATTGGTTAGAAGCCGCATATAAATTTTGGACAGTGAACTTAATAATATTAACTAATGATATTTTGGATCTAACTACGGCAAAATGACAAGCTTTGTAAATTGTGTTTGTGAGTCGTGACAATCATGAAAACATGAGAGGAAAACTAACATGATACATATCTTAATTGCATGATCATATACGAATAAAGAACACATTAGCAATTAAGTTTTTTTGGAAACAGAAAAGAGAATCCATCATTATTTGCATTACGCCTACTATCTTATAAAGCATTCAAGAAACATTGAACAAAACTTGCAAACAAATATAGTCAAAATCTCGCAGCTACTCAATTACTTGTGTGAGACCATATTTACAGAATCACTCAAGCTTTAAATTAATATTCAACATTGAACTAGAGAGAGTACATATCTTTATTAATCAAAATTCTAAATTAAACGAAAAAAAACAATATGTAAAACTTACCAACATTGTACAGGTTACTCGAGTAGCAAAGCATATGGCAAAACCATAAAGTCTCTGGTCATAAAAAGAAAGTTAATCAATAAAATTGTACAAGATATACATATCGAAACATATTGAATGAATCAATTATCAAACAAACACTTCATGAAGACACAAATTTGTGAGAGGAATAACACCCGAGGAGGTTAATGCATGATTTAGTTTTAAAAATCTAAATATTCCAATATGTAGCAACAAGAGAAGACTAAAAAAACAGCCTAACCAGGTTTTAAATAACAGTCTATTACCGCGAAAACAACCACAACAAAATGGTATCAAAAGCAGTTGATATCAATCCTGTTATTCACCGTTTTTAGATTAATTCGCACTGACAACTGCAATTACTGTTACAACACTTGTATCAATCATGAAAGTGTTTAGGCGACCTTAAAACCTAGAGTTAATCAACTACATTAGCAGGTCTCATTTGAACTTCAAAACTGTCATGAATGGAAAATGAAATGCCACAAGATCACAGTTTTCAAAATCCTTGCTCAAATCAAAATCTAAATATCCAATTCTCTATAGAATTATCCAATTTCAATCCATTTTTCAACTCACCGCTATGTTTTTTTATCTTTATGAAACAAAGCAAGAAAATACGATTGATTTTGAAGAAAAAAATGGACTTGTTTGGTAGTCAAAGTGCAGTTGCGGTTGAAATCGTCCATAAAAGCGAAGGAGCTTTCGTTGTCCAATGTTGCAGCTTGTTGCTCTTCGACTTTCATTCCTACCATCATTTTCACTTGCTCGAAGGCTTTGTTCATTTTTTCCATTGTTTTTTCGTCGCGACCGAGGGAGCTAGGCGTGTGGATGATAACAGCAATGGCACCGTGACGGATGGAGTTAAGGAAATGTGATGGAGGGAGTTATGGAATCGCAGGTGGTGTGGTCGGTCGTCGTGACGGAAACGCAGGTGGTGTGGTCTGCGCGAAAGAGGGAGTAGCATATGTAAAGTGGTCTACGCGAAACAAGGAAACAAAAAGGTGTGTAAAACTAGGGTTTTCGTTAAAATTGAAGGAAATGGATTTTACATCGGTTGAGCATAGGCCCGATGTAGTGGCCCACATTTCACATTGAGATCTAATCCAAGCCCGATGTGATATCCGTCATAACAAAATATCATTATAATTACGAAATTGCCACTGTGTAATTTTTTTCATAATTGTATTTTTCACATCAGTGCAAAATTAGGTTCGATGTGAAATCCTTTATAATAAAATTTTATTTTATTTACTAAACTGTCACCGTGTTATTTTTGGTATCAGTGAAAATAAATGTCTAATGTAAAATCCCTAAATCAAATGTTTTTCACATCAGTGGAAATAAATGTTTGATGTAAAATCATTTGAAAAATATTTTTCACATCTTATATCTTGAAATCTGATGTAAAACCTTTTAACCAAATGTCTTAGTTTTAGTAGTGTGAGTGGTGTACTGAATATCGTATTCTGTTAAGACCATTTGCCATCGGGATATCCTTTCGGAGAGAGCTAGCTTCTCGAATATGCACTTGATGGGATCCATTTTAAAGATCAACAAAGTAGTATGAGTCAACATATATTGTCTTAGTCGACGAGCAGCCCATGCCAAAGCGCAACAAGTTTTCTCGAGCAATGAGTATCTTGTTTCACAGTCGGTAAATTTTTTGCTAAGGTAGTATATTGCATGCTCTTTTTTACCAGACTCATCATGCTGGCCCAGTACACATCCCATTGAGTTCTCTAACACTATTAAATACATGATCAGAGGTCTTCCTTCAACTGGTGGCATCAGGATTAGAAGTTCTTTGAGGTACTCCTTGATTTTGTCAAAGGTTATCTAACAATCGTCGTTCCATTTTACTACCTGATATTTCTTCAATAACTTGAAGATTCGCTCACAAGTAGCGGTCAGATGAGAAATAAATCTGGCAATATAATTCAATCGTCCCAAGAAACCTCTAACTTACTTCTCAGTGCGGGAGCGGCCATTTCTTGAATAGCTTTAACCTTGGCGGGATCAACTTCAATACCTTTACCGCTGACAACAAAACCCAGGAGTTTTACTGGATCTCACCCTAAAGGTGCACTTGTTCGGATTCAACCTCAGTTTATACTTCTTCAGCCTCTCAAACAACGTACGTAAATGGTCCAGATGCTCTTCTTTGGTCTGTGATCTGGCTATCATATCATCGACATAGACCTCTATCTTGTGATGAATCATGTCATGGAACAAAGTTACCATAGCATGCTGATATGTTGCACCAACATTCTTCAACCTAAAAGGCATAACCTTGTAGCAGAAAGTGCTCCACTGTGTAACAAAAGTAGCCTTTTCCATGTCTTCGGATGCCATCTTGATCTGATTATACCCTGAAAAATCGTCCATGAAGGAGAACACCTTATGATGATCGGTGTTGTCGACTAAAACATCAATATGTGGAAGTGGGAAGTCATCTTTGAAGCTCGTCCTGTTCAGATCCATGTAGTCTAAACACATACGTACCTTGTCGTCTTTCTTTGGTACCGGAACAACATTTGCAACCCATTGAGGATAGGATGTCACTGCTACGAACCCTATGTTGAATTGTTTTATAACCTCAGCCTTAATCTTCTCTGACATCTTGGGACGCATACGATGAACCTTCTATTTTATCGGAGCACAACCCTCTTTCATCGGTAGATGGTGAACCACAATATCGGTATCCAACCCTGGCATGTCTTCGTATGACCAAGAAAAGATCTCGACATATTCATGAAACATCTGTATTAACCTGTTCTTAACATCGTCCTCTAAGTTGGCGCATATCTTAACCTCTTTCCTGTCTGTCTTAGAACCCAAGTTTACCACTTCAACTGGCTCTTCATGCGGTTGAATAGGTTTTTCCTCTTACACCAACAGTCTGGCAAGTTCTCCTGGTATCTCACAATCTTTCTCACTTTTGTACTCGGCTTGGTATATTAGATTTTCAAAGTCATAAGTGGCAATATCAGAATCGTTATCAATGGGATCCAGAGTGGATGTGGATCTGCAATGTATTGTGTAGGTGTGTGTAAGAACACATGGCTATTTTAAAGTGATAAAAGTGAAAAGAAAGAAAGAGAGCACAAAATTTGAATGCAAAACATCCAATGCTTTTATTAAATGAAAATATGTTTATGAATGACAACCCTTAACAAATGAATCGTTGTGCCCTGAGTAAGGCACAAGGCTTAAATTTATTGTTTAAATATTACAAATCCAAAACTTGAAAGCAATAAAAAAACATAAATGTAGCTATTACTTCTGACTAAAGGAGAGAAAGATAACATCCTCAGCCTTCCAGTTGTTGAGCTCATTGCCTATGGTAGGAAAGATCCAGTTGTCAAGGTCATAATCACTGTCAGCATCTTCTATTACGTTGATTCTGTTATTGCTGATGCGGAATGGTGGCCTTCCAGCTCAAGCGCGAATAACAGCCTCCTGACCCTCTGCAGCGAAACGCAAACCAAACTTTTCATATTTATAGGGAATGTCAGAAAGCTGGCCCCAAATAGTACAACCACCTTCTTCTACAGTAGCTTTAGCATCTTTTAATGAAGCCATCCTAGGCGGAACTTTAGTGACTTTGGGAATGGCAAAGACATCTTAAGTAGAGGCCGGAGGGATGACTTCAAAAGTTTAATAGGGAGTCTGGATGAATTCGTCGTCCATCTCTACATACCAGAAAGAGTTTAAGTGGCTGACCATATACTTCTCTTCACCACAGACAGTAACAATTTTTTCGTTCACGGGATGCTTTAATTTTTTATGTAGGGTATAGGTAACAGCGTCTTCCCCATGGATCCAGGGGCATCCCAGTAAGAAATAATAAGTTGGTTGAATGTCTATCACATAGAAAGTATATTCAAAGATCTTCAAAACTAATTTGATAAGAAGATCCACTTCTCCATGTACCATCCTTTTAGACCCATCAAAGGCTCGAACTATAAAATCAATGGGTTTTAGTATGACCCATTTGCAATCAAGTCTGTCAAGAGTGCCTTTGGTAGGACATTCAACGAGGAACCAGTATCAATCAACGCATGAGCTAAAGTAGTGCCCCTACATTCAATGGGGACATACAGAGCTTTGTTCTGGTTTCTTCCCTTAGGAGTCAGATTTTTGTACCCCAAAATTTTCCCTCTCATATTTCTCAAGACATTGCAAGAATAATTTCCAAGTTGCTCAAGATTGCTCAAGAGTTGGACAGTCAAGTCATCTCCTAAGGCAGTCAATCTCAAATTAGGGTTTTGTGTTGCATCAAGGTTCTTGCATCCAAATGACCTCAAGTGCTCCCCAATGTCCTAATATGTTCTCAAGTTCATCCATGTCAAATTTCAAGCCTTGCATAGGAAGTTTGCTCAGTCAATTGCTCAAAGGGTCCAAAAATCGACTGTGCTAGGGCAAAAGTCAATTGTGACTCAAATACAGTCAAACCTCAAGATTTTTTGTAAACATTATCATTTTGAATGATATTTCATCATTTGATCAAGGGTTGATCATGATTCATCAAGGGTTGCTCAAAATTCATCAAGATTCAAAAGTTGCTAAATTAGGGTTTTGTAGGAAAAGTCAACTCAACATTGACCAAGCATAACCTTCTCATACTTTATGAGAAATGACCCATCAAAAGCTCTTTTTGAAGAGGATTCAATTTCCTACAATCCATCTTCACACCCCAAGATCAGGAAATGCACTCACAAAAAGTTACAAATTTGGACATTATAGGTCATTTTTGAAAGTCAAGAAAAACACCTTTTTTTCCAAAGCTTGTAACTTGAGAATGGAATATCAAAATGAGATGATACCAAATGTTTTGGTTATAGGACATCTCAAGCTTTCTAAAAAGTCAAAGAACACATCCAAAAGTTCAAAATTGAAGAAGTTATGCATTGTTGAAGTTGGGTATTTTTGCAAAATTGCCAAAAGTCAACTATCCCCAAAACTTCATATTTTGTCAAATGGGCCCATTCTTTTCCACTTGATTTGATCTTGTCACACTACACACGTTCCCTAGCTTCAGCCTTGTGTCCATTTATTAATTTTTCTATTTTATTTGATTTTTTATTGAATTAATTCATTTTAAATCAATTTAAATCAAATAAAATCCAAATATTGATTACTTAGGATCTTTTTGGTTGTTATAGGTCTTAATTAACATCATGATCAGCATCAAATTCGTATATCACCATATCATGAACAAAAATATGGATTTTTGGCAAAATTGGAAGGTTTCCAATGGAGGATCAAATCAAATCTCCAAGCCATAATGCACAAGGATTCAGTCCAAAATTGTTGACCTAATGCACTCCTTATTACATATACAATGCAAAGGCACGAGTTTTAGAGGTTAGAGGCTGCAAGAACACAAAAACCAAACTTGAGAAAACTTGAAAAAGTGTGAATCTGAAATCGTGCTTAGAGGCAGTTTCAACACAAAATCTCCACACCACTCCATTGCTGGGCAATCACTGAGTCAGAAGCAATCAAAAGCAAGCCCTCACACCCTCTGAATCGCGCTGTAAGTCTCTCAAAAAAGGCCCTGTATTTGAAATCGTAACCTCTCATTCTTGCATTTTCTTGACAAATCGTTGACATATTCATGATCCTTGTGCAATTTCTAAACTTTCTGCATTATTTGATTGTATTTATATAGCCTGTAACCCCCTAGCCGAATCTAGGGTTCTTGGTTCTTGTTTTTGGGCGTTTCTTTTTCCTTGTAAAATCAGTTCCATTGATGGGCATAGACGTGATCAGGGAAGGGAGACGAGCA